AATATCTAAATGTCTTCGTGTTACTTGCTATTTTTATTTATTTATTAATTGAAAACCAACAGCTTCCAAGACTTAATAAAAACAGGAATAGTAACAGATTTTCAACTATAGTTTTAGACAAAATAAATCAAACATTATCATTAAACAAAATTAACAATAAACATGTGTTAGTAACACGCACCTGTGTCAACAGTCATAAATTACTCAATAAAATTAAGCAAAATGTCTGTAAGTCTGCACTTTAGCACATCAATATCACAACATATGTCAATAACGAGATCATGATGGCTCAGCGAACTATCCAAGCTCTTGCTTGGATTAATCTTTTTTAAAGAGAAAAAAATTTTGTCTGTTGCTTAGACCTCGCCAAAGGAACAGTGACAGGGTGATAGTGTCATAGAACGCATAGATACAGTCGATACTCTAAGGTAACTGACCCCTACTCATCTATTTGGTTCGGAGTAGATCAGTGTGAAAAAAGTTGTTTAACAAACTTAACCTATAGTATATAACCTGTAAGACGTAAAATTAATTTTCGTATGACTTCCTTACGGTATCATTAGCGAAGGACGTTTTACGGAAACGTTTTGAGTCAATTTCATCTTTTATTACATTAAATATAAATTTCAACCAAAAGCTGCAATTTTCTTTTCTGGTGAATACCCATGAAGGCTCTCAGAACCAAGAGGTCGACTGAAGACTCAGGTTTCATAAGACATCCACTGTACATTAAACGAAATATCACCCTATAGGCCGCGGCATTCAACATTACCGTTTATGTTGTTTAGAATATACCTACACTACATCAAGAAAAAATCGGCGAATATTTAAACGTAATAAGGATAATAATAAGTATGTGGAGCCTCACAGAGACACTGTAGTGCGTGGAAACTGTAGCCCCCTCCCATATCCTTGCAAGCATGAGTGGCACAGACTCTATCGCCAACGCGGCTGAGAACAGCAAAAGGTTCAAATTCGCCAACTTGCTCAGTGCTACAGTTTTGTGCCTTTTGCGGTTTAAATCCTGGGTACCCGAGGTCCACAGGCAAAACTTCTAGCGAACGAACTGTCAGATCGCCTCGTAGAAGTCTCCAGTAACCACAAGGTAAGGTAGTTATTTCCGCCAAAAAATAAGTTTAGCTATTCAAAGGGGAAATATTGCCAGCCTTCTGGGTACGATACCCCAGGGTAAGGCCCTTCAGGAAATTATCTACTTACAAACTTTCAAATACTATATTATATTATATTTACACTGTTTATATTATATTTCAATAAGCTTAATAAATACCTGTTGTTAAAGGTTATATTACCGTTGTGTAATTTATGCATTTATTTATTATAGTTGTGGATTCATTACAATCATAATCTAGTTTCTTATAAATAAAATGATGACCGATGACGAATGTACCAATTTGTATTGTCAGACCAATTTTCAAGCCACGTAATTAAAAATAATACTGGTACGGGTTAGCCTTCTATATCTAAATTAATAAGAAAAATCTTCTTGTAGTTTTCGTATTCTTAGAGCAGATAGTGCGAAACTCCTCAGAGATTAACTTGTACATGATTTCTGCCGCCATTTTTACCACCAAAATTTACAGAAAAGGGCAATTATAGTGATGTATATTTTTACATCTGGATAGAGAGAGATACATCTCTTATATCATCATCATCTATCATCTCTTGGAGGTTGGCATACTCTGTGTCAATATCGAATTTGTCACAAGACCTTTCAAAGACCACACCTTTTAAACCAACTTTTTGAACATGTTTCTCGACTATCTGGTCTTCGGCGTTTTGGATAGTCAAAATATCTTTGGATATCTTCCTGAATGAGTGACAAACAAATTTGTGTTTGGTTATTTTAACTTTAGTAGCTTTGTGCATTGTACCTTTATTCTCCTGTAATTTTTTTGTTTCTCTTTGCTATTTCTTCACCACCCGTTACCATTGTACAGCAAACAAAAAAACAAAAAATCAAAAAACCCTTTGTGTGGGTTTTAGTCCCTTTGTAAGGATTGAAGTATCAGTCTAAACTCAAAGTTCGGAATGTACCGGGCATGCCCATGTGCTCACTGTTGAAAGTATCCACTGGTCGAAGAGATTCATCAGTACAGGCTTCGTTCATTTCTTTTCTGTATTTCGTGAACTCTTCTGAACTCATTTCTTCTAAACAGTCATCTGAAACACAGAAATAAAATTTACATTATCCTTTGATTGAGTCTGATCGTCGTCATCAACAACCTATTTGGACGTTCCTCTGCTGGGCACAGTCTCCTTGTATGCGAGGGTTTATGCTATAGTCCGCCACGGTGGCCTAGCGCAGGTTGGAGACTTTACACGTTTTCCGAGGGTTATGAACCTTCTTCGACGTGCAGGTTACATCATGATATTTTCGTGGACCGCAAAGCTCATAGTAAATTTCAAACTAAATTTCGCATATAAATTCCGAGAAACTCAGAGGTGCGGGCCCCAATGCGGCCTCTGCTTGAGAGGCAGGTAGGTCAAACCATTATATTAAATGAGTCTGATAATTTAACTAAAATATTGTCTTACCATGTAACTCAGCCAGACTCTTTTCATTGCCGCCATAGTCTTTGGGCATGATTTCCTTAGGAACATGCTCGTAGAACTTTTCAAGTGTGTTTATCGCGTGTATTCTATCACCTAGCTTTGCACTGAGAACTTGCTTAAAAACAGAGATTCCAGTGTCTATAAATTTCGATGAGGATAGGTAATATACACCTCTCAATCTCCATCCATAACCGTCCTGAAAAATTAGATTACGTAATAAACAACAACCAAATGGCGGTACATAATGCTTTGTTGATTCCAACGCTAACGTATGGAAGTAATGTTGGGTATGATAGAGGAAGCATGAGAGCAAAGTGAATGCAGTTGAAATGAGATCCGTCAGACAAATAAGTAATGTGCGGTTATGTGACAGACTGAGAAATACTGTGACCCGTGAACAATGTATTTTGAAAGAGGATGTAGTGACTAGGAGTAGCTTGGGCACATGGAGCGGATGAATAAATGTAAATTAACAAAACAAAATATAGAGCTAACGTAGAAGGCATCGTTGAATGAGAATGACAACGAAGAACATTCTCAGATGAAATCGAGAGTATTCTAAAAAAGGATAGGATGCGCAGTGAGACAAATAAGAGGGCCTGTATGAAAGAATTTCGAATGTAAGTGAGGTAAAAGAGGTTTATCAGGTTGTGCTAAGTGGCGATCGATGTCTCTGCCTACGCTTAGCAACATTGATTGCAGATTGAAGTACATTTATGAAAATGTAATTTATGTTAAAAGGAATAGTAATTTCTTTATGAAAAATAGTGACAGACATAACATTAATACGAGGAATAGAAATAAACTAGCTTTTCTCGATAGTCGTCTTCACAAAATCAAAAAATAATTTAAGGGGCAATGTATACGCTTCTATAACAAGATTCCGGTTGATATACAAAATTTGCCTTTCACGAGGCTTAAAACTATAGTGAAACAAAAACTTCAGTGGAATCAAAGATCTACGGTTAACTGATGATGACACCATGGTCAGTTTTGATGTTCAGTCGCTGTTTACCAACCTACCAGTAAAAGACTGCATTGAAATTGTACGTAGGAAGCTAAGGGAACATAATATGTCCATTGAATATGCAGAATTATTAGAACACTGCCTAACATCAGGCTATCTATTGTGGAATAATGAATTCTACCTACAAATTGACGGTATAGCGATGGGCTCCCCGGTATCTCCCGTTGTTGCCGATATTTTCATGGAAGACTTCGAGGAGCGAGTTTTACCCATGGCCCCAGCTAGGCCGAAGATTTTCAAACGGTACGTTGATGATACTTTCACAATATTACCTAAAGATAGCATACCTTCTTTCTTGGACCATCTTAATTCTTTTAGTACTAAGGTCCAATTTACTATGGAACAAGAGAATTGTGGTACTTTAGCTTTCTTAGATGTTTTAATTAAAAGAAATCCTAATAACACCCTAGGCCATACTGTATTTCGAAAGAAAACCCATACAGATAGGTACCTCAATGGTAATTCCCATCACCATCCTAGCCAGTTAGCTACCGTGGGCAAATCTTTGTTTCAGAGAGCATATGGTGTCTGCGACAGTAATCATCTGGCGGGGGAACTTCAGCATATAAAGCAAGTCCTACATGCGAATAAGTTGAGGATTCCACGCCAACACCGCAGACCCCGTGTGAAACCACCAACAGTCGAGCGAAGACCTGCCATCTTACCTTACGTGAGAGGTGTTACAGACAAGATCGGAAGAGTCCTCAGGCGTGCATCTATCAAGACCTATTTCAAGCCCCTGAGGAAGATTTCTCAGTTCCTGAGACCCGTGAAATGTAACATCCCCTTACAGGATGCAGGAGTTTACAAGCTTGACTGTGAGTGCGGTCTCTCTTATATTGGACAAACAAAGCGAAGTATTTGTACCCGCGTCAAAGAACATATAGCTGATGTCAAACACCGTCGCGTAAACAAGTCTGCAGTCTGCGAGCATGTCATGGATAAACCTACACATTCAATGAAGTTTGACAAACCCCAGGTCCTTGCAAAAGAAGTCCGTTATCTACCCAGGATGCTGCGAGAGGCCATTGAAATTAAAAAACATCCTAATTTCAACAGGGAAGATGGTTTCTCCGTACCACCAGTTTGGGATCCAGTATTTCCTCTAATGAAAAATCCCAAACAGACATAAGACTGCAGTACTAATTAATATGTTTTAGTTTATTCTAATTTCTATTAATAATTAATAATAAATTAAACTTAATAAAAATTCATTCAATAAAATAATTTGTAAAACTTAATGTAGCGTAAATTGGAATGTTTTCTTTGTAAAATTAAAAATAAGGTATTTAATTAATAACTATTGTAACTATAGTGAAAAAATAGGGTGGTTTGCATTAATATTAGACATAACTGGTTGAAGACTGTACCACCTCAGTCAACCGTAACCATGGGACCTGTAAAGGGCCCGAAACGTCGGTTTGTTTGAAAAAACAAATATACGCGATTTAAATCCGGAAAAATAGTTTCATTTCCTATTTATACTAAAGGTTATTATACAACTTCTGCGTACTTGGATGACAAAAATCCGTGGTAGTAACCCGTTTAGCTCATGGAGGTAGTCTCGATCTCTGATGTTTCAAATAAAAAAAATATTGTAAATGTTATTTACAAAGAGCAACCCCTAGAGTTTCTTGCTCATTCTTCTCAGGGGAATCTGCCTTACGAATGAGCGGTAGAGTTTAACTATTGTGACGATTTCAAGTGTAATAATGCTTACCTATGAAATAAAGATTATTTTGAATTTGAATTTGAATTTGAATTAATATTGTAAGGAATTAAAATTAATTTGCATTTAGAAGTTTTTACGATCTCTTATTATCATGAGAGTCATAAAGTTTTAGTAGCAGTAGAGGTCCTTGTGACAGTGGTGGAAATACTGCCTCCATATCTATTTCTTTATATTATTTTTATAATGTGAGCATTACTGCGTTTTGGATATACAGGGTAAGGGTGCTGATGAAATTACAAGCACATGGATTTTTTTAACACACAGCCTCACAGCCCCGCCTAGAGAAACCCTGCGTCGCGGGTGCCATGGACACACATATATACAATCAAAAACATAATTTCAGTACAGAGTATTAAAAAAACCGACCTCAAAAGTATGTGGAATTACATCTATTTGCCAAGTTTTATTGAAAACGGTTACAGGAAAGTGCGCGAAACCTGATTCATCCCCTAGTTCGCCACTATACGGAACTTGACACAGGAGATAATAAAAATCGGTTCTCACTACTCAAAGTATATTAAATTAGAATTAGAGAACAGCCAAATCAACCATTAAAATTATTGCTCGTTGTAATAAAATTTAGGCGCTATTTATAAACATGAATCTTCATGCATGGAAAACCACCCTTAGAGGTGGATGCTTTTCTTCAAAATTAAATGGGACTGTTGGAAAAAAGGTACCTCCATAGTAGAAAGAATCATCAAAATCGGTTCACAAATCCCGGAGTTATCGCGTAACACACATACAAAAAAAACATACAGTCAAATTGAGAACCTCCTCCTTTTTTTGAAGTCGGTTAAAAATTACACCCAAACTCACGGGAGAAATAAATGTAGGCAATACAAATATTTTACTCCGGAACCTCTGAGTGGCAGACTAGGAGTGTCTCAACCCCCGTTCACACGGCATTGTATTCCACGTTTTTTACAGTAATATTAATCTTACCGAATAAATAATGACTCATACATTAGATACAGAACCGTTCACACGGTGTTTGTCCGTTTGAACGCAACGGACTTGTGTAGCAAATCGAATGAACTTAACGTATTCGGTGTACAGTGGCGCATAGTATTAATGCATCTCTTTTACTCGGCGCGAGGTTATACGTTTTTTTCGAATAGTTACCGAACAAGCGGTGTCTATTGAAGTATATTTTAGAAGGAGGGTAGGTACGCATAATTTTATGAATACAAAATGGCCGGCAAACCTTCTGTCTAACGAAAACGATTTATTTATTGATATCTTTGGAACAAACGACCGTGTTGTGGGACAAAACTAAACCCATTATATACATTCTGTTCCTCAGGCGGCAAAGCCGTTGGCGTCTTCTGTGCAAATATAAAAGTGCAACAAAGCGTGGATCCATCATAGACGTGTTCTCAGTGCGATTGCTGTGTGAATACTGCGCCTATCCGTCTTTTGAACGCTTGAAAATGTATCGTATGAACCCCGCTGTTTATCCGTTCATAATCGAATAAGTTAAAAAATGTGCAGGACAATGCCGTGTGAACCAAGGCGCAGGGTACAGAAGCAGTGATGCTTAGATCTTTGCGATTGAAAACTTTAAGTGGCACTGAAATTGTGATAGGCAAGAATGAATAGGCTTACGACATTTTCGTCCCATTACTTGAAATATACCTAATCACATTATTCTCTCTATTTTATAAAAGTATATCTCTCCTTTCTCCGGCTGGTAGTAAAGTCTTGCTCATTTGTAGCATTAAGTAGGAGTAGAGTTCCTTGTGAAAGAGTTCGTCCTGGGATGTACTGCCACCTTATCTATTTCTGCTGCCAAGCAGTAATGTCAGCATTACCGTGTTCCGGTTTTGAAGGGTAAGGGTGCTGGTAAACTTATAGGCACATGGGACTTCTCAACTTATGACTCACGGTGACGGGCGCACTGCGTGTAGCTTACCATGAGGCGCACGACATGTTCGGTCCGTAACTTGGTATTAAAATAAAAAAAAATAACCAAAATAAAATGATACTTACTACCATTGTAGTCGTTACTTTACGCATCTCCGTAATACTAACGTTACTGACAAACTCTAAAACGTTTAAACCTCTATAGTCACAAAGAGTAATATAGCCGTTCGCGTAGTCGTGTGCTCGGAGATACTCGAAACACTGTAAAAGGTGGAAATATTGGATTTATCGATCTATACAAAATGTATGAAATATTTCACCTCTATGGATGGAAACTTGGCGAATAGATTTAATTCTACGAGCTTTTGAGGTAGAAGTTTTTTTTTATATAAAAAAGTTGTAATTATTGTTTGTTTGAAAAATGCTAATTAGATATGCTGATTTTGCTTAACAATAAATCTGAAACTAAAGAAGATATAAAAAAATTGCTTATAAGGGGCTGTAGATTTTGTTTCACTGATTCTAGATACATTAATAACTCAAGAAATCAATAAGTACACAATAGTAAAAAAACCGACGTCAAAAGTTCGTGGAGTTACATCTATTTGCAAAGTTTTATTGAAATCGGTTACTGGAAAGTGCGCTATACCGGATTCATCCCCTAGTTTGCCACCCTTACTCGTATATGTGGAATATTTTCTTCAAACTTAAATAGGACCACTACTACTGAGGTTATACGATGGCGATACTTCCTGTAAGTTTTCACATAGATTCATATACTTCATACCTTTTTCCCATCGGGGTAGGCGGACACAACAATCTTCCACTTGTTACGGTTTTGACACACATCTTTCGCCTCATCAACACGCATCAGTGCTTTCACACACGTTCGTCAGTTAAGGGTTCTCTTGACCTGGCCCTTCTTTAGGATGGCCTTAATTTGGTCATAGTAAGTTCGCCTTGATCGGCCGGCGGATCTAACCATACTTTTCAAAGCTCTCATTTCTACTGCATAAATTCTACTTTCGTGCTTCTTCTACCAAACTCAACATTCACTATCATACATAAATGTAGGAACCAGCACCCATCTGCACAACCAGTCATGCTTTTTTGGATACTTTTCGGCTGCCCATGAAGGCATGCAACGCACCATTCACCAGATTCCCTGCATTCACTTTCCTTTCAATGTCACTTTCATGGCTTTCATCACATATTTTCACACTCATTTAATATAATGGTGCGGGTGTTTTTATGAACGCAAACTGAGCTTAATTATAGGACTTATTACTTAGGTACTCGGAATTATAACGCTCGGTAAATTTGTTTATGACCTATTACTGTCTTAAATAAAAAAATAAATATTTACTATAAGCCAAATCCTGTAGATGTCGACTAAATCTTTCGTATCAGGTACCTTGTTGAATCTTAAAATGAATACTCTGCAGTGATCCTTCGTTAAAGTAGGTAGAATGGCCTGTGTTCTGAAATCATTCGAAAATAACACTTTTAAAACCCTGATTAAGGTTAATAATAGAACGCATACACTCTCGAAATGAAATGCATTTCATTTCGAGAATCACCACACTAATAGTTACAGAACCATTAAGGCGGTCAGAAAAATCTTTGTCAATGTAATAACAGCGAATGTGGTCTACAGAAGAATTTTAAAAATATCGTGGACGGATAGAATGTCCAATGAAAGAGTGTATACAGATGGTGAATAAGAAATTAGAGGTCTTAAGTACTGTCAAAAAACGCAAAGTACAGTACTTTGGTCATATATGCGTAAAGATAAATACGACCTACCCCGACTAATTATGCAGGGGAAGATACGGGGAAAGCGACCACCTGGAAGAAGGCGTACTTCGTGGCTTAAAAATCTCCGGACATGGTTCAACCTGAGCACAAGATCCTTGTTCTGTGCAGCTGGGTCTAAAATACAGATAGCCCTAATGATAGCCGACCTCCAGTAGGAGATGGCACCTCAAGAAGAAGAATAACAGGGAAAATGTCGTTTTGATTCGCGTCGGCGGTCCGAGAGGAAATAAAACGCGTAACGTTTTTTTCGCTCTTATAGCTTGGACATTAGGTTTTTCTGACCGGCTCAAGGCAATCCTGTATGCATAAATGTGGTGAGTCCCTAGTGCAATCATCTATGTATAATAAAGCTTCAAATCGTCTTACATCTTTTCACCGAATACGTGCTTAAAGTCGTTCTTCAAATCATAGTTTCCAAACAAGCCCTTCACAAACGTTCTCAATGTGCACATTTTATCTATTCGCTTCTTAGCCCTTTCTATGGAGCCTTTGCTACATATTATTGTTATTTCCAAATAATCTCGAGCTGTAAGAACAAAGCAGACAAATGTAAAAGTAAATTCCTTGTCGTCTTATGTAAACGAAAGAGACGTTACATTGAACATTTTTTATGTTACATACTTAAATAAAAGATATTTAAAGACAAAAACTTACTCCTATAAAACATTATACATTATTTTAGAAGTCCTAAAAACACCTCAATACCCTCCTAGAAATATTTTAAGGACTTATAATATTGTTTTTAACAAAACATATTTTTAAGGAACCTGTGAGCCGGCCACGATACAGGGCAGAAGTTTTTTTTAGGTTAGATGTTTTTGGCAAAATCTACTGTAAACCCCTTTTTTCTTAAAAAAAAATTGTTTTAAGATATTTACGTCCTGTTTTGAAATTCAAACTTAATTAAAACCAAAATTTAATTTTAAAAGAGCACGAAAATATTTTAAAATCTAAAACATGATTCGCTTAAAAATCTACGAAATTTCGATTACGTCCTTTCTACAGAACACCGACGATATGGTCTTATTAATTTTTTAATAAATTTTCAAAGAATTTTTTTAAATATCTATTTTTATTCAAATGAAAATGTGTAACAAAAAAGTTGAACAATAACTAATGGCCATACTCATTATAATCAAGAAGCAAGTTGTTTTATTGTGGTTCGAATGCCAACTCATCAAAAATGTCAACTCACACCAAAGGAAGGAGGGCGCCACGGTCCGTAAACAAAGATCGTCTATATATATATTTTTAAATTAGTTACTACAAATAATTTACTACAATTTCATAAATACTGTGTTGTGTATACTACGTAAGTGAAATCAACGTAATTTAAAAAGCAACCAGCCATAACATCACGACTGCGAAACAACGAATCTGTGCATTTTTTTGGTGATGTAACTGAATATATCAAGACTCCACTTGGCAGCAAAGACTCAAATTCTAAGGGAACCTATACCGAAGGTACAGAAGAGAAATAATACTTTTTTATAACCTCACATATTTAAATAACAACATACGATGTTCTACAATTTATCACATAAACAGTGCCATCTAGTGTCGAATAGCTGCACTAATTGGGAAAGGGCGCCATCTAGTTTCAAGTGCCTCTACCAGCTCGCACGTATTTCAATCGATCGATCCTTTAAAATTACATGATACTATTCGAAATAGAGTGCGCTATATAGATACAAAAATATAATTCAAAACAAACTGTAGATAACCATGGCAACTAAAATTTCTCCGCGAAAACGCTCAGGGTGTAAAAACATTCTACCAAAACGAGAGCATCTACGGTGCGAAATATACAAAGGAATATACGAATATACGACCTGGAATGTGCAAACGTAAGTCTTAAGTTATTTAACTTGATGGAACGTAAAAATACATGGAAATGCCCGGAATGCTTGTGCAAGCGACCGAAAGTGGGAAATTTGAATACTCCGGTGCACTCCTCGTCATCAAACGACATTCCACGGGAAACTGAACGTAAAACACCGCCATGCCCCACAATAGAATGTGGTTACATTTTGAAAGTCCTGTCTAAGTCTATAAAAAATATTTCACCCGAATTCGAAGGCGGCACCACAAGAACACAACCTGTTGTTAATTTGGAATCACCCACACCGAGGGAAATTCAACTCTTTTGGGATAACATTAAAGTCTTGAAATAGGCAAATTCAGGGAAACTATAGATAGTATTCGTAAGTACGAATACTTTAAAGTTGCAAAACTTACCAGAAGGCCAGAATTGACACCTTAGAAAAAAAGGTAAGTAAAGTGCAATAGAGTAAGGTCCCGGAATCGAGTAAAATTAGTAACCTCGAAGAAACTATAACCCAATTGAAAATAGAACTCCTAGATCGTGAACAAGAACAACTCGCTAACGATGTAGAGATAGCCAACTTTCTAGAAACAGGAAGTGAGAATCCCACACACATCGTCCTCACAGTCGCTCAAAAACTGGGCGTCGAGCTAGAAGACAGGGATATTGTGAGAACGGAACGCGTGGGCCCGGTGCGCGCTGCGGGTGATGGCGGTACGCCTCGTCCTCGACCACTCGCCGTGCGCCTAACGCGACGCTCTATACGGGACGCGATACTGGCCGCTGTTAGGGTCCGTCGCCGTTTCAGCACCGATGACATGGGGGTGTCTGGAGCCGTTAAACTATTCTACATAAACGAACGCCTAACTAAGCATAACCACCAGCTGTTCTACAAGGCGCGCGAACTCGCCAACCAACTGCAGTGGAAGTATGTGTGGACACGAGATGGTAAAGTTTTCGGTCGACAGGAGCACGGAAAGGCCCGCCACCGTCTCCAAGTGGACTCTGACTATGTCAAGGTTTTTGGTATACACCTTGTTAATGCTAAGCCTGATGGACATTAACCATATTTACAAGCGTCCCTATTTAATCTTGGTGTTAAATAGGGACTCTAGTATATAGTCTTATTACTTTTATTGCCAAGTAAAGATACATAATATGTGCGATATCCGTTTTGATTGTTATCATATTACTTATATTCTGAAAGCATTGAAACCGAACCAATTTAAAGCAAAAATATGTACAACGGTAAACTATCTGTTAAAAATATTCTTATATAAAATTATAATGTCTAATGGTTAACAAAAGCAAATTCTGTTTGAAACTGGGATTGTTAAATATACGCTCTTTAAATACCGGTCGTGACGAATTATTGAACAGTGTAGACAGTCACCAATTGGATAATCTGGTACTGCACGAGACGTGGTTGAGGTAGGGAGAGGAAAGCCATGCTTCGGTGGTGCCAGAGTACATTTAAAGTACAGGCCGAGAAAGGACAGAGGAGGTGGAGTAGGATTCTGTGTTCACAGAAACTACGAGCAAGATTCAAAACATATCCGGATTCAACTCAGCAACAGCTGTGGTTAGAACTTACTTTACCCGACCGAGGACGCATAGCTATTGGCACAGCATATAGACCAGAATCTATAGAGGTACATACTGCAATAGAGGCTTTGAACGAATCCATTAGCGTATTTGGTTACTGCGACCATATCTTTCTGCTCACAGATTTCAATGTCGATCTTCTACAGAATACGCCAAGGGCACATGAGGTTACATCATTTTTTAGTCAGCGTGGATTTCATGTATTAGTGCAAGAGCCTACGAGAATCACAGATACTTCAGCGACTCTATTGGATTTGATCGCAACTGATTCACTTGAGGTATGCAAAAGAGTCTCTGTTTACCATAACCCTCTTCTGAGTGATCACGCCCTGGTGGTGGCAGAATCTAACATAAATAAATAAAAAGAAATGCCAAAGGTTTATTACAAACGTCTTCTGCATAGAATAAACCACGACAAGTTTGTAGCTGATTTAAATTACCTACCCTGGAACTGTATATTCGACGAACAGGATGTGAATGTTAAAGTTCAACTTTTTAACAATATTATTTTGTCACTATTTGAACTACACGCACCGGTGCGGCGTTTTTGCACTAAAACAAAATCACTACCATGGCTGACTGATGACATGAAACTAATGATGTTTCTGAGGGACCAGGCTCTCGACTGAGCACGTAAGACTAGAGTTGAATAGCACAAAAACTATTATAGGTAACTAAAAACATTAACCTTCAACGTTTTAGAAAGAGAAAAGTTTGCTTATTTCGCGTTCTAAGTAAATAATAATAAAAACGATCTCAATGCTATGTGGAAACATATTAAACACATCTCTCCCCTTGCTGGCTCTTCCATCTCACCGAATATTCCCCATCATCTACTGGAACCTAACAGGATTAATGACTTCTTTCTTAGTTCTGTAACAAGTTTAGATGCTGATAAAAACAATGTGGAGTTTTATAGACAACACCGACACTCCGACAGGGTCTTCAATATATTACCTACAACTGAAGAGGAGATAGCAAGGGTCATTATGAACATCGAGACAAATGCTACAGGCCAGGATACAATCTCCATACAAATGATACGAATAACTCTACCAGTCACACTGTCGGTTATAACACATATTGTTAATAAATTCATAACAAGTACAGTTTTCGAAACCTATTCCTAAAAGTGCAAAAGTGGAAGAATGGAAAGATCTGACACCCATCAGTATTTTGCCAGTCCTCTCAAAAGTACTAGAAAGAATAGTGTGCCCTCAATTGACGGAATTTGTAAAAAGAGAGAATATTCTACCTGAAATACAGTCAGGCTTTAGAAGTGGACATAGTACAGATACCGCATTGGCACATATCACGGATGACATGCTGGAATCTTCGGACAGGGGATGGGCAGTATACAAGAGCTTTCGACTGTATGAACCTTGAACTGGCTGTACAAAAGCTATGTTACTACGGCGTTTCAATTTCAAGCTGTGAATAATTGCGCTCATTTCTCACGGGCCGTGAACAGTATGTTGAAGTAGAGTCGGAACAGAGAGAAATATTGAAATTGGAATCGAAGTCTAATAGTAGAGCCACGCCACCGGGATCCATCATAAGTCCAATTCTTTATGCACTCTATACAGCTGACTTACCGCAACGGATGAAACACTGTAAAATGCACCTGTACGCCGATAACACGCAAATTTACTTATTTTTTCATCCGGATCATACAGAGGTAGCTACCAAACATATAAATGAAGACTTAAATCCTCCATCCAAATCAAAACATCCATCAATCAAATTAAATCATCCTTTAAATACTCCATCGACAAATGGGCCCGCCAAAACTCACTTACATTAAATGTCAGTAAGTCCTAATATATAGTGGTCGTGTAGTATTTAAGTAAATGTAGGTAGTACCAAAATGTATGGCGCTAGTCAGTTTGCCGTGAACGATTAAACGTCTATGTTGCTATCCGCGACTTTTATTGGAATTTATCCCGAAATATCACAATTGGCGACGAGAAACTATATCACGCATGTGATTATTAAAATAAGTGACATTAAATTGTGATCGCGATGACGAACAACGGTAACATAGTTTTCGGCGGCAACCTCATATTCGACCACAACGCACAAGAGTGGAGTAGTTTTAAGGAGCGTTTCCAAGCGATGTGTTTTGCAAATGAATTGACGGATACATCCGATAAAGCTGGCACGAAGAGGCGTTTTATACTTCTCACTTCATTCGTGGAAGAAACCTATCGTGTGGCACGAGATTTGGTGTTTCCTAAGACGCTGAATACCGTTGAATACTCAACTCTCATTGAGAAATTAGACACTCATTTTGAGTCTCTAATCGCCATTGACGCACATTCCAAGTGGTTAGAATGTTACTTAATGACTCAGACACAGACTCAGTTAGCGTAATAATTAAATAAACAGACATGTTTAGTAGATTTGGACTTATAAGCACTCTAGTTACGGACAATGCCTGGAGTTTTCGGAGTTTTGCACGTCAAACGGAATTAAGCACGTCACTATTGCGCCTTACCATCCTAACTCGAATAGACAGGCGGAAAATGGCGTTAAGTTTGTAAAGAAAGGCATAAAGGCAATACTTGCGCAAAATCCATCTCAATCAGCTTTTAACATCAAATTAAGTAAGTTATTGTTTGACTACAGAAATTCAGTTCATTGTACAACTGGTGTCTCACCAGCACAACTGTTGCTGGGGCGGTCGTTAAGCTCTCGGCACGACTTGCTGCGCGTGAAGGGCGCGACGCCGCCGATGCTGGAGTCTCTCTAGTTGGAGACACAGTCATGCAGCATGCTCCGTTGCCGTTTGCTTCCTCAGTTAATAATAATGTTACCTCTAAACAGATCTTACAATGTAATCAATACGGAGGGCAGAGAAAATGTAATGCAATATACCTACTGTGAGCGACTTGTACGTTGATGTCAGATCATCCTCCGCTTTGAAAGGAGATAGCCCTGTCAGCGATTTGCACGAGGCCGTCGGATTGAATCCCCAACAGATATCCCCAGAAACATTTTTCGATAGCATCGCTTCATCTAACACCTCGCCACGAAGGCATCCAATGGAAGAGGGAGGAGATAGTATGATACCGTCTGATGAACAAGTGCCATTAGGTAGTCCGAGGGAGATTGTGGAGACAGCAAATGGCTTAACGGGGAACGTTGTGCTAGACGCTCCAGCAGATGATCACCGTAGGAGTTTCCCATTGAGAAGTACCAGGAATAAAGCACCACATTATAAGACCTGAGTCTTAGATCAAGGGTTCATTAAACGATTTTGAATGTCACTAATATAGTAGTAATTTTTATTATTATTGTAAGTATTATTATTTGGGTAAATATTGGTGGAGGGAATGTAGTATTTAATTAAATGTAGGTAGTACCAAAATGTATGGCGCTAGTCACTTTGCCGTGAACGATTAAACGTCTATGTTGCTATCCGCGTCTTTTATTGGAATTTATCCCGAAATATCACAGGTCGGTACAAAGACACAAAAAAAAATTATTAACTACAATCCGAAGCTTACAATAGGCAATAGTGACATTGTAAGAGTACCAACGGCAAATACCTAGGCCTGACAATGGAGCTACGCTATCTGGATAATGTCAATACCACAATAAAAAATGCGTTTTACCGACTAAAACTGTTGTACGGGACCCGGTAGTATTTATAAGAAGGTGTTAGACAGTTGTTAGTTGAAACTTTGATACTGTCACAATTTACATACTGTGATACAGTCTATGGTCCCCGTTTATATAAGTAAACACGAAAAGCTATCCAGCGCGTCCAAAATGCCTGCGCTCGATTCTGTTACTTTATCCCTAGGAGAGCACATGTCACTCCGTAGCTCAATGAAAAAAAAAAATATTAAAAATGGATGCCAGGACTCAGATACATCTTACCTGCTTAATACACAATATTATAACAAAAAATAAACCAAAATACCTATTCAATAAACTTATAGGGATTAAAGACGTTCAAGAAAGACGTAGTAGAGTTGCAAATCTTTTGGTAATCCCTAAGCACAAAATAGTAGGGTTCAGGGGCTGTTTTAAATATGCCGCGTCGAAGGTTTGTAATAATCTCCCACCACCATTACGTAACAGAAAGTCCTTACACACAGTAAAACATCAACTGAAAATGGTAATGTCGACCAAACAGAAAGAAGCACCCCTAGAACAGATTTGTTTTTTTTTTGGCAATAGACATATTCACTAATTTAAAATCAGTTATTCAGATGTACAATTACACAGAAAATTATTGGTTCGGTTTGGTACAAATAAAATATTAATTTTAATTTTTAATAATTCAGATTATATTATTATGCAATGGTTGGTTTTGAGATGTTTATTTTTTTTTTCCTTTTTGTATTTTTTATTTGAATAGTTTAATACCGTAATAGATTACCTTAGTCCTCTAAGTTTACGGAACAGGGCCATAATACAAATATATGTTTACTAAAGTCGGGGGCAGGCTGAAAACCAGTGTTGGGTGACTTCTGTCGCTCAGTGAATGCTGAGACTGTCTCCCATACACAAATCATTTGACTTTTTAAATATATATTCTAAAATCTTGTTTCTTCTTATTCTGTATTATGTGTGTGGAAATAAATGGTTTCAAACTCTATTTGAATAAATAAGTAATAAATATTAGACAATATTATATATGTTGCTCTGATCCCAATATAAGTAACTAAAGCACTTGTGTTATAGAAATCGGGAACAACGACGGTACCATAAACACCTAGAGCTGAAACAATATAGAAACAATTTTTTCTACATTGACCCTGCCGGGGATCGAACTCAGAAGCTCTGAGATAGCGAGACCTTGAAAACCGATGACCGACTTAAAACATTACATTATTTATTACTGAGAAAGCGAAGAACAGTAAGGCCAAGAATAAGATACATAATTCTTTCATGATACAGATACATAATTAAGTCGCTTTAAAAACGAAGACTAGGGCTTCTAAAAGGAAGTCTAAATAAGAGCGTAGTAAAGAGAAAGAAAAATGCAGAGCATATAGGACAAAATATAATAATGACTTACAAAAGTTTTTCTTCACGAAATGTTCCTGTTTCTTTACCCATTCATCCAGAATGTCGACAGCTTCTTTCATTCTTCCTGGTCCGTCTAAGTCAAAAGTCTTGCGGACAGCGTTCAAAGTGTCTGGTCGGAAATTCAAAACGGGACTTTTTGGTAAAGTCTCCATTCTCCTCTGTTTTAAATAAAAGTTGTACTTTAATTTCATTTAAATAATTTTTGTCATGTAAAAAAAGTCAAAACGAGCAGACGAGCCACTTGATAGGAAGTGGTCATCGTCGCCCATAGACATTTGCAACATCAGATGACCTGCCTATCGCGAAAGATTAAATAACAAAAAGCATATGTTTTCCCTGTTGTATTTTCCACAACAGGTGTTATCTTACATCATCTTCTTCAAAGCTCAAATTATTACATTTTAAAGAAAACCCCTACATCATCTCACAGGAAGCTGTAACTTTAAATACATGTCAAATTTAAAAGAATCATGCATACAGAATAGGACTAAATAGTTTCTTATCCCAATACACTCTCAACATAGGGACATACTACTGCATTTATTTGATTTGTAGTTAAAACCAGCCAAAAGACTGAGAAGAGATCAACTTTATCATCATAATTATAATGTACCAGACAACCACGCCAACTGCCTGGGAAATCCCTGTACTATGAGTACCAGAACAAGGCAATTCACTTTGAGGACCCAAAAGACCCAGACCAGTACCAATTTAGGGACTCGGGACCTGCTCAGCCAACGCCAACAGTTGAAACTTTGCACCACCGAGGTCAATAGTACCTAATGATTGTGTTAACTATGATTGTGTCACGACTGAAAGTAGCAAATTCAGGTGTGATGTTTCCAAAATAAATGTTTTGCATATACGGAGAAAATTTTGCTTGAGACAAATTGGGACAACTTGGAGCAAAGTTAAAAAAAAACATTATTTTTACTGTTTACACGAACGTGGATGTCAAAATTTCAGAGATTTCGGATTCGTTTTAGGGATCAAAAGTATTTTGTTACCCATTACTATAATTTGCACTAAATACCACTACGAGTTAGTGGTAGTTTTGTGATTAGTGGGCAGTATTGCACATAGTATTTGTAACACAAAAAGCAAAACAATGATCATAATTGGGTGAAGAACTATATCTCACAGATGGCGCAAAAAAAGCCTGTGACCTTGTGGCACAAAAATGTCGTTAAAAACCAAACAAAGATCTGCAACAAACACATAGAGAAATTCGAAAGGTCCGCGGGTTTGTTGCGTGGCTTAGTTGGCATAGCGTCTGACACGGATTTTTTTTAATTTTTCGATCTTTGTAAATGTAACAAACTAGTGGAGTTATTTCACAAAAAAAATTAAATATCGTGATGGTGAAACCTGATAATCAACAAAATTATATATATATATATAGTTCAAAAAACAGATCACTTCAAAATTATGTTTCAATACATCATACCTTTAGTTAATGAATGTAACCGAGGTAAGACAAAAATAATCAGTTACATAAGCTAAAAATGACTCTGAAGAAAAGAATTTGTCTTACGCAAATCTGGGGTAAATTTTGCTGCAAAAATGAAATGACTTGAATTTGAACCTATCGGCCAAGAAACTGGCTTAATCGATGTTAATAACCTTGTTTTTAATTTAAAAGATTTCTTTTTTATAAATAGGAACATAGGTGTCAAAATTCAAAGTAACCCTTTCATTTAATACTGCTGTAATCCATTACAATCAAACAAAAAAAAAACTCTTAGACTTACCGCTACTACGAACACCTATAGCAAAACAACAAACACGTCAGCTCTCGTTCAGAAACCGGTCTTTTTAAAATACTTATAATTTTACCTTTATTTATGAATATAGCTAATAATTTATATAGCTATTTACAGACCTTTATTACATAGGTTGATTAAAAATTACTTTGAACACAGGAGAATTTTTTTGTTCATTATATCCTGTCTATAAACTCTCTAATGCAATGAAAAGAAATGAAACTTGCATAGTATGTAATATTTTACAAAATAATGCTATTACTATTGATACAAAGGTTGAACAACACAAAGAAAGATTCCTTCTGTTGCTACACTGGGGTGCTCGTACCAATTGAGCGATAGACCAAGTTGGCAGATGTTACGAACTTTTCTACGTGCTGGTTGCACAAATTTGTGTCGAATTTTGTCGCCTTTATGGCCGTCAATGCCACTTGTGAGAAACGTATGAAAACAGTGCTATTTCATGACTGTTCATAAGCTACTAAAATATCGTGAGAAAATTTGACATTGGATAGGCTTAAAATGTTTGTGTAATATTTACCCCATTTAGACAACATCTGTGCTTGCGCACAGATTTTGTCTAAACAGTGTGACACACACGTTGTCATAAAAATCACCCTTTATAGAATAATTGGTACTTACGAGAGAAGTAATATAAATAATGGGAAAAATGTAATGGCGGATTCTTATAACAGTCTTTTGTTGTGTATAATCATTGGTAAATTACTTCGCAAGAGAGATTTTTATTTCCTTGTAACATAATCAAGACTAATTCATTCCATAGCAATGATTACCTTACTATGAGATAATCATTGCTATAGAATAAGTTCAACTTTCAAGTACAGAAGTTCAACATCACTTTTATTTTGTAAATTTGAACAAAAACAATTCAATATTGATTTTTATAATGCTTAGAAGTCGTAATTGCCGGACAGCTTCAGAGGGTTAGGAATGTTTTTTTACCTAGACACTATCGAGGCAGAAAAGCTTACAACAGTTGTTTTGTCAACGTTGAAAGCTTCTAGATTCATACAAAGATGCTCTATCCTCATTAGGGCTGAGAAATTTCACCTTTTCACTTCCTTGGTCACTTTTCCTTTCCTTATAAAATTGTTAGGTTAGGTTAGCTAGTTAATCTAATTTTTTTCAAACATTTCTTTTGTAAACTCATCTACTGTAGTCAGCTCTGACAATGGGACCTGTAAAAGTTGGTTACGAAACGTTGGTTAGTTAGAAAATAGTTATTTTTGATACAAGTGCGGAAAGTTAGTCAATATTCACGAGTCTCGAGGTTTCTTGGCCCGAGGCAGAGGCGAGGGTCGAGACTCGAGACAAGTGAAAATGACAAATTCGCACGTGTATCAAACGATGTTTTTTAATACATTTGCGAAAAAAGTACATTGAAAGTAAAATAAAACAGTATTTAAAAAAAAACTCATTTTATTTCTTTGTCTGATAAAAATTCACAGTACAATGGCAACTGTTGCCAGTATTCAGCCACATTAAAATTACTATTTTAGTGGCGCGGCGCGCAGCGGTCTCTCGTAATACTCACCTCCGGTCATTGTTAATACTCAAACAGCAATCTTTATGAAAATATTTTGGTATTTTTAAATGTAACCCACATTTAAAAATACCAAAATATTTTCATTTTTTGTAAGTATATATGAATATTTTCATCAGTTGTTTTATAAAACACCTATGCAATTTAAACGAATAAGATGTTTGTAAGTAAATATAAGTTTTAATGACGAATGACTTAAGTCACAAAGCACATAAATATTAAATAAATACACAACCTCTTTAGTTCTATGCTTAAGACTTGAAACAACAGTAAATAAAAAAAATGGAAAAGTAAAAAGCACTAGTGCGAAAATTCCAACTTTCGGCACGATTTGTAGTACGAAAAATTCCACGGTTTTGAGCAATTGTATTAAAAAATAATAATAAAATAATATACACTTATTAGATTTAGGTCTGATTTTTTTTACGATACTAAGTGACGGGTTGAACAAGTCGTACGCCTGCCGGTGAGCGTCCATAGCAGTTGCAGTGCCCCTCAGAGCTTTAAATCGCTAAAACTGGGGGACACCGCCACTGCGCCCACCACCCTGATAATATATGGGTTGGTAAGTCCCATGCATGGATAAAAAACAATAAAGTACCTTAAGCCTCGTTTACTATCAGAACCGCTGTCGCAAAGATTCACACAGTCATAATTATTGAATATCAAGATGATATTATTTTTTTTGTGACATTACTCCACTAGTTTTGACTGACGTCAAAATTCTGTGCATGTTACGCAATTACTCCGCATTTATAAACCGATTTCTAAAATGTTATGTGTGTTCAAAAGCCGATGTTTCCCCGTAGACACATTCCTTAACTTTTGGTCCGATAGAAAATTATAATAGGGTTAAAGTAAATGTTAGTGATTAATATTCTTAAATGCAAATTTATCCATTATTAAGTGTTAATGCGTGCAATTGATGTATGTACATAATGTATTTGAGACATTTCAGTATAATGGAGGAATTAACTCTACTTCATAATATACGTGTAGATATTTTTTTTACATTGAACTAATTAAAAATGATACTATTTTTTTCGAACCTACGTTAATGTGTTTTTCAAACTTAATCTCAATCTTATATACTTGGGCCATTTAATACGCCGGAAACGTTGGTTTATTTGAGAAAACAAAATATACGTGATTATTTAATTGCGAAAACCCATAGAAGTGAACTAATATTGACATAGTGATCCCATAACAGAGTTGCTCAAAATATGGATCTTATTTTAACGTTGTGTATTTTGACGCTGACTGTACTGCAGGTTAGAGGCCAATTGCGTTATAATAATATATAAAAGGTAGTTATTGTTTACAGTTTTCCTTTGGTCTGCAGCTGTGTGTGTATGTGTGTGTGTGTGTGTGTGTGTGTGTGTGTGTGTGTGCGTGAATCGCTTATAAAGAAAAATATTTTATTACACATACACTTTCACTTTAGGTAAATTTATAATTAAGAATGTTTCTTTAGTAATATTTAATTTAACACAATTTTTTTAACGCACATTCGCAAAGCCCCGCACTAGGGAAACCCTGTCTTGCCGGTGCCATGGACACACACATAGAACACCACAAATTACACCCAAACTCACGAGAGAAATAAATGTAAGTCATGCAAATATTTCACCCGACCGGGAATCAAACCCGGGACCCCTGCATGGCAGAACAGCATGGTAACTGTTGAGCCACAGAGGCTGTTAAAATATAATTTAAATAGAAAATAAAATATAATTTTCTATCGCATCGGGTCAAAAATCTGGGGAATGAGTCCATGGGGAAATTGCGCCTTCTAAAATGCAATGCAAATGCTTGCAAGTTGCAA